CAGACGGCTGTGTGGCAATCAGCCGCTCTGATGCAACAGAGCGACATTTGTGAACCGCAGCGCTCGCAAACACAGCTGTTCACACCAACAGCTCATCCCCCCCCCTCCTCACTGCGTCCCATTGCAAATAGAGATGGATTGCTGCAGATGTGGTAAACAGGAACATGTGGCGGTGATGGGAATATGTGAGATTTCTGCTCTGAACTGTAAAAAGGTCCTAATGTTGTCTGCTTTGTGTCTGACAGGGTGGGAAGAAGCACAGTGGCCCGTGTGGGGGAAGAGACTGCAGCGGTGGCTGTAAATGCTTTCCAGAGAAGGGTGCCAGGGTAAGTCCTGTTCTGTACAGCTCTGCAAACATCCCTCTGCTTCTCTTTCTTCCCTTTGCTTACTTCAGGGGTGAGTTAACCGTCACCAGCTTTTGGTTTTCGGTCCGGAGAACCAAATAAGGTTCACACACACACACACCCACACACACAACTCTTGGTTGATTTGAAAATAATGCTTTCTTCTTCAAATACAAGTCAGGTTTCTACAAAGCCCTGGAAACAGATTTATAGTCCATGAAGTGTTTCTCACTTTGTCACTCTACAAATTAAACCTTCGACAGACTGACGCAAATTGGTGCATGTTTGGGAAATTGAAAAAAAATAAAAAGGTTTAACGGTTTACGAAAATGGAAAAAAGCAGATACAAATCTGAATGGTTTGCATTTTTAAGCCCCTCTGAAACAATACTGTCTGGAACTAATTTTACACCTGACATTGTATGTGATGTTTCTATTTCGGCTCTTCACATCTGAAGTTTTAGCACATTCATTCACAAAATTGCTCAGGCTCGGCCACAGGTTCAAGTCCGCAGTTGGATTCAAGTCTGGTCTTTGACTGGGCCATTTTAACACAACCAATATAAACTGATCCAAACCATTCCACTGTAGCTCTGATGGATGTCCTTTTGGACCTCTGCCTCATTATCAACTATTTTTCAGCCTCTAATAGATTATTATTATAGATAATCCATTGGACTTGCTATGATTTATTTAATTGTCTTCTTTTTGTACTTTTCCATAAAAAACAAGACTTGTGGAAGTCCTGACTGACAGCTTTTCTAAATTTTATTTTATCAGAGAGTAGAGGGCTTAATACAACTGTGCACCACAATTTTCAGGTTTCAAGTTCTAAAAAATGTTTTTAAAAGTTTAATTTCCCTCTCACTTTGCAATTATGCACTACTTTTACGCTGGTCCGAAACATAAAATCTAAAAAAAAAAAAACTGTAATAAAATTGCTGATTGTGGTTTTAATGTGACAAACTGAAAAAGATCACGAGTTCACGACAACACATTTCACTTTAATCTACTTTAAATGTGCATGACAGTTTCAGAAACTATATTTAATCAATAAACCATCACAATAACCTGTTGTAAACGTGTTGAGCAACGACACCATCTGCTTCCGATGTCCTGGGAAATTGAAAAGTTTTTGAGTAAAGTCGATAATGTGACGCTGTGAAAAGTGTTGAAATTCACATCATTAAACCCTATGAAATAAAATAAGGATCGCAGCAGAGACCATCTGGAGTTTGGGAGACTGATTATGGGGGGAAAATGTAAGAGCAAAAAAAGAAAGTAGGTTTTAAATCAGACAGACAGACGTAGACTAAACATATTCAGATAACAAGCTTAGAGTGAGTAATGGAGGTTCTGCATGACTAAAGGCTGTGTTTTGATTCAGACACGTGCTTCATCAGATTATTGGACTGAGTTTCCTGTCCTTAAAGACTTTTCAACACCACAATCTACTTTCTGCACCAATTCACCTCATGTTTGAAAAAGAAGAAATGCTTTTATATCCAATGTAGACGTTTTCCTTTAAAGAATAAAAGACTGAAATTATTGACCTTTACAATGGATAGCATTTCTCAGAAGTGCTTCTTCCTGTTATTCTCAGAGTGATTCAATGTATCTGGCTCATGCATATATGAGCAGACGGCTTCCTGATTTAGAAATCCCATCCCAAATCAGGATTTTTTTTTTTTATTAATGTGTCGACATGAGTTGTGGTGTAGCTTTTTATTCTTTTGAACTTGATGAGAGAAAACAAGTTCTCTTTTTTTTCTTTTTTTTTACATGCTGCTTTTGGCAGAACCTCATGTTTGAATTCTGACCTGAGGATACTTTAAACTTGATCCAAAAAGGTTTCCGAACTTGACTGTATATCTGCTTTCATATCACTAAAAAGCACAGATACACCTCACAGAACAATTCTCACTGTTTTGTGAATGAGGAGCTTCGAAAAGAGGGAATAGATTGATGCACAAGAAAGGAAATTTTGTACATACTGTGTTTATACTGCGCTGATTCAGGAGTATAAATCGTGTCAAATCGTTGCCTTGCACTCCTTCTGGACGGAAACAGGAGATAGTCGCTTGCGTTATGCCATAGACTTCACAGTGAGTCCTAAACTTGAGCATGCACGCTGCGACAGTGGAGAGGAAAAACTCCCCTTTCACAGGAAGAAACTTCCAACAGAACCTGAACCAGTGTCTTTGCCCATCTGCAGAGAAAACAGAGGAGAATGCTCAAAAAAGAAACGGATGAACTGATGTAGGAGTCCTTTCTATAATAATAAAAAGTGAAAAGATAACAGCAGGACAGGGATGTTAATAGTTGGCAGCAGACCACCAGGGCATAAAGCAAACTTAATGTGATTTTTAAACATATTTCCATCAATCGGCTGATGAGATTTGTTTGATAAATAAATCACAACAATGTCTATGCATTTATATGCACAGCATGCCTTGTGGAAATTGTGAGGTTGTTGTATAAATTCTCACGTAAAGGCGTCAAGCAGTAAAGAGGTAACAGTGACGAGCCGCGGCAATAGGTCTACTGAAGCACAACTGAGCCATAAGTTTAAGAGAAGTAAAGCTTTAATAAACATAAACATGTAGAAAAAGTCTTTGTTTTCTGTCATCTCTCTTCCAAAATGAAGCACTTAAACATCTTGTTTTATCCATCTTTAATTTAAGCTTCAACACTTGAACTGGAATCTAGAACTGAGTTAAATGTTTACCCATCCTACGTTTAAAACAGGCTAAAGACAAGCTGTCCCGGTGACAAATTTGTCCCATTTCCTTTGTTTCTCTTATCCCGTGAACAATGCTCCTGGAAACTGTAAATGTCTCAGTTCAGACGTAAGATGCTGTAAATCTCCAGTCTGAAATCAACATGCCTGCGAGAGATTCCCTCTGAAACGACAGCAGTGAGGGCAGGAATGCCTTTCAGATACACCTTGTCATCCACTGAGAGTTTACTGGACGAGCTTGACAGCAAGTCTGACCTTTGAAGTGCGCTCTGGCCATGTGTACAGGAAGCTCCTGTTCAGAGACACAGAGACAGGAGTGAGGAAGTTTTACATTCCACATCTGAAAGGCACAAAAGTCTTGTAATGAGGTCATCAGTCCACCTATCGCTTCCTTCCTCCGTATTCCTGACTATTGCCCAGAATTGGCCAGAAACAAAGGGAAATATTTTCTCAGTCTCTCAGTAACAATGGGCGAGAGTGAGGTTTTATTGTTAGCAAGAATTTGTGTTTCATGTATGAAAACAAAAATCAGTTCCTGCATCCGCCTACATTCAAGATTTTCATTTTTCTTAAGCTTTACGCAACTTGTGTCCTCTTTACAAGTTTTTATTTTGCTCTACATGTTCCCCTTGTTCAGATTGGCAAACGAAATAGGTTCTACATTTTTCTCACTGTTTTTTCTCAACTTGTTGAAAATATCTCCATCGGGGGAGAGATATGGAGACGTGCGCTTCACTGGACGTTTAATACTGATCCGCTGCAGATGTCTGGACTGGCTGGGATTTTCTACAGCTGTTGCAAAAAGTGGTTGCTTGTTAATAGGTCCACTATGTGGTTTTGATCACTACATGGAAACATTTAGATCCGAATGTTGCCTGTCTTACCAGATAACCTAAAAAGAGAGATTTAAATAAATATATGTACAGAGAATCAAGTATCATATTATTTTACTGTTATTAATAAACTCCCATCTCCCTTTTGCTCTATTCTGTTACTTTTACATCAGCTGCATTGCAAGAGCCACCAGCTCCTACAAAAACATGACATCCTGTTTGAAAGCAATTCTGGCTTAAAAATCATCATCTTGACGATCAAAAGAGCCGGATTATCAAAGTATGTCAACGTTGTCAAGGGCCAAAGTTGTCCAAGTGGAAGCTTTATGGCAATAGTTCACCATTAAATCCTTGGCTTTATTTTACAGCAACACAGGTGTGATGCAAGAAAAGCACCTGAAGAAACTTTATGTACAGCTCTGGAAAAAAAACGAAGAAACCGCTGCACTGAACCAACCCCACTGAAAACCTTACGGTTATTTCACCAAATATTTCTGAGTTAAAACATCAGTATCCTTGTTTCTAAATCAATTTGAACTTGTTTTCTTTGCATTATTTGAGTGCATCATTTTTGTTATTTTGACCATTTCTCATGTTCTGTAAATAGATACTAAAGTTTTTGCTTGGGATTTCGGAGACATGTTGTCAGCAGTTCATAGAATAAAAGAGCAACGTTTGTTTTACTCAAACATAAACCTTCCCATATAATTTTCCAGTGGTCTCTTCATTATTTCCAGTGCAATACTCATATGGTTATACTCCAAACTGTAAATATTTGTTTACATATCCTTTGTTTATATTTTATTTATGCAGTAAAAATATGCAATTATTATAAATAAAAAAAAAACAAGTAACATAAAAAAACATAAAAATGAATATTGTTTAGAGGGAAATTAATCATTTAAATCAGTTATTGCATTGAAAAATTATTTGTCAGATTAATTTTGAAGAACGATTTCAAATGTGGCAGCAACATTTTGGCTGGAAATATAACATTCATTACAACGTTCTCAAATATCCACAATTTTTGTGAAAAAAACATCAAAAGCCTAAACAGTGGCAGAAAAACAAAAATAGAGCATCAGAGAGACTAAAACAATGAAGCCGATTCATTACTGAGGAACAAATGTGTTATTTTGACGAAGTTTTCTGCTTTAGGCCTGAAAACGGAGACTTTGGCCGCCTGACTCTTCTCTCTCTCTCTCTCTCTGCCAGCCTGCAGAAAAACATCAGCTTCCCCTCTGTCCTCTCCCAAAGCCGCCATTGTTTCCCTTCGTCATTAGTGGGCTGAATTCATGATCGACAGTAAAAAAGAAGAAGGAACCGCGCACTGAGATGGACACAATGATTAAAGCAGTTTAGAGGTTTGCTTTATAGCTGAGAAATACGGGTTTAACAGAGCCTGGCATCCTTACAGACCAAGTAAAGTGAAAGATTCACGAGCTCTGCATGGTGGGCGGTTCGGTGAAACTGAGCTTTTTGTGGTTTCTGAAGCCTCAAAACGGGAAAGGAAAGAACATGAACAACAGATCAACATGAATCGTCAATAATGACCTGAACTGCAGCTTGTTCCTTTTCAGGCCTTTATGGGAGAGCACAGTTACCGCTGTTATGGTGAAAACAATAAGCCTCACTCGCGTCCTGTGGATGAGCTCAGTGAACGTGAAGAGAAAAACAAACTCTAAAAAAAAAAATAAAAAATAAAAAGCAGAGGAAAAAACATGGCAACTATTATGGACGCCGTCCACCATGGGAAATGCTTCCTCGGGTGATGCAGGACAGGGAAAGACAGGAAGTCATGCACAATGACGGTCTACTGATCTGCTTTTCATATAGCCTCCCTCTGTTTTGTGGGAACAGGATTGTCTGTAAATTTGACCTTTGCTATAAATGGCCCATTTCCTTGTTCCATTAAAAGCAAATCTGTACAATCTGAGTGGCACACTAAAGGCTGATAATACCCGTATATACATGCATAGATCTTGGAAACCATAAATACATAAGGACAGTGAATGTGGCGCAGCTTCAATACACAAAACAGTGAAATAATATCACAGCAGCTGCAGCTTTGAACGCACTGATTTTGCAGTGATGATTGCAGTTCAACAGTTGTGCACCTTTAATGCGAGATCCCGTTCATTCCTGCAGATGTCTCTTCAGGCTAAATATGCCAGGGAAGACCAACCTGATTTAAGAAAACAAAACAGAAAAAGAAAGACTCATGCATGTGAGGCTGTGGGAGGGCAGCAAAGCAACAACCTGCTGCTATCATTAAAACATTTGGAAGGGAGGATTTTCTCTTCCCGAGACGTTGGAAAGAGGAATTCAGTGGGGATCTCGGGGCTGGCAGAGTCCTGTGTGAAAATAAGTCTGTGGATTTGGATGGAATGTGACAGAGGATGCTCAAACTGACGGACAGAAAGCAGCTGTTGGCTGCGAGATGGAAAGATTTGTGAAAGAATAAAGCAGTAGAAAAAAGCATTAAAAAAAGCCTCACAATAATGATTAAATTACGTGAGATGTAGCAGAAATGGTCCTAATTACACCCACAGTGTGTGAGTCAAAGGTTGACATTGCAGCAACAATTAGTTTACATTTTGTTTAGAAGTCTGAACATTAAGTCATGTAACTCAGCTAATTGACACAAACTGTTTGGTCTTTTTAAGTGGAAGTTTCACATTGTGTTTGGGGGGGAAAATAGAAAAAAAAAGATGAATTATGATTTGTTTCTATTCAAAGTTTTGTCCTTTACGCCGGGAAGAAAAAAGAGCAGCTCTGACCTCTCATGTGCATCAGCAGATCTAATCTTTTAAACTTTTAGCATTTGAGTATTTTATTCAGAAGGAGCCACTTTGTTATTGTACTTCTCTAATTGCATCAACATGAACGTGGGGATAGCTGAAACACGATTCTTTTTCCATCTCTATGACTTTTCTTTGCCATTTAGACAGGAAACACCCACTAATGTATGTTGCAGATCCCTCCTTGTTTTGTGGTATTCAGTGGGAGCGAGGAGAACATTTTTATTTATTTATTTATTTTTAAAGCAACAGGAGCAGCCATTTAAATTCAAGTTCTTAATACACTGCGTTTTGGTGGGAATAAAACCCCAACGGTTTTTAAACAATTGAAACATGTGTGTGTCCCACAGCAACAACAGCACCTTGTGCTTCTCATATTTGATATAACAAACATCATAAGAGCACATTATCCTGCTCCAGATCGAGCTCAGGCCAACCCAGAAATCAGTAGCTCTGCTTCACGTTTCTCTTGTTGCTGTCTGGTTCGACCAGCCAAAGTCCATCTTTAGGGGCCTTTAAAACTGTCGGATCTTCATAGTTTAGAAGATGGATGTTGCCTAGGAACAACATGACTATTGTTTGCATAGAAAAAGGAGGACCTGTTTTCGCTGCACTGACTTAATAAACAAAACGAGACCAAGAGCAGCAGATGACAGGCTGAGGGAGTGGAGTAGTGATGATCTACAGATTACACAATCAGCCAGATGCAGGATCTAAAAGTCTCAACAAGTTTCATTAATTATTTTCCAGAAAAAGAGGAAGAAGATCAGATGTATAATTAAATTTGAAGCATTTGCTCAGAACGAGACACTGCGTTTAGTTTGTGTGCAATTTTTGTTTTGTGAAGAATGTTATACGGAGAATAACAATACAGATTTTACCCCTTGGCCACACTTTTTTCTTCCACACAACTTTCTTGTGGCTGTTTGTGAATGCCTAGCTTCTTAAGAATGACCTTGTCTGCTGGAAAGTAATTGTGTCAAGTCTCAAGTCAGTACTGTAATGTAGGGTTATTACTAATTGTATAAATTTTATAATTTTCTTAGAAATCATATTGACTTTTCATTAGCCGTAAGCCATAATCACCAACATTAGTAGAAAATCAATCATTTTTGAAGATGTAACTTTCATTTATATTAATTTATTGAGCTGTACCTTCAAAGGATAAGATAGTTATCTACTGCAGGTAAGACAACATGTTTAAACTTTCTTAAAAGCATTTTAACAGAACCTCCCTTCAAAGGCCTTGAACTATCCCTTTAATGTCTTCACATGCCGATGCAAAGCCTTTCGGCAGCCATGTAGCTGATAAGAACCACTTCTGCAATCCGCTGAACGGCCTTGTCGTTCTGAATGAGGCTGAAACAAACATTAAGGAGCTGATAAATTTTGGTTGCAACATTTATTCTGTGCAAAGTTCAGAAATCCTGTTTGTGTCTTCCTCAGTCTAAACACAACAATGGAGAGCGGTAAATCTGAAGTTGTTGTTTTCCAACTGCATCTGTGTCATTTCAGAGCAGAAGGCATGACAGGCGTACAGTAACAATATTTTCCAAAGGAAGGAAGGCGAATTATTTGAACAGATGTGTGTGTGCGTGGGTGTGTGCGTGCGTGTGTGTGTGTAGACAGGAGTAGAGCGCACATGAAAAGTGGCGATTTTGTGTTTCTGTATCCAGAAGTCGTTCAATGACCCTGGCTGTGACCTTGTTTCCATTGCAGTAGGGAAAAGGTTTAGCGGTTCAGTATTTAACTGGGTGTGTATCTACACACACACACACACAGACCCTGACCTTCTTACCACCTGTAGTCTGCTCGTGTTATCGTCGTCTCAGAGCACAGGGCGTAAGTAGTGTGCAAGCAAGGACAGGTGAAATGATGATGACCAGAGTAGGAGCTTAAATATTTCATTTGATGTTGTGGCTGCAGCTCTGAACGTCAGCATTCCTTTCTCATAATCACCTCAAAAATAACAAATTAAGGTCAGTTTTATTTTATTCCTCATAACCTACATTCCAGTTTTCTGAAGGTTTCTTTACTATTTTCTGGAGGACACCTCCTGGTACCAACTATCTTCCCCCATGTTTCATTTGAAAACACGGAGACACACACACACGCATACACACACACACACACACACACACCGCGTGCTTTATCACCGTCTAATCTGTCTGGTCTGTAAAACATGAGAGCTTTGGTGAAAACGGTGTTATCTCTGCTCATCTCCATTCACATCATCGGTGCTTTTTATTTGCAGTCAGAAGGAAGTTTAACGTTTGAAGGCAAACTGCGAGCTCCATGTTCACCATCAGGGATTATAATGGAGGCCCACATCAGGGCGAAGAAAACAATCAGGCTGTCATGTTGGACAGGCTCCTCTAAGACAGGCAGGATGCGAGATTTGAGTTTATCCCACATGCCGACTCGCTGTAGGTGCTCAGTTTTTACGCAAATGTTTTATAGGGCTGTTTAGCTGTGGAATAATTAGTATTTTGATAGTTATTTAAAATGATTACTTGTTGGCTTTGTGGGGGTGCGGGGAACGCTGAAGTGACAAAGTCTTCATATTCAGGTTCCTACAGTATGTACAAATTTAAAATGAAATAAAAATCAGCAATATTCTGTGTTTCAATTGTCTTTGGAAAATAAAATACATAATAAATCAATTACAAAACATATATAGAAGCAGCAAATCAAAACAGGAAAAAAAAAGGAATGAAATATAAATAAAATTATAAATGAGAAACAAAATAAGAAAAATAATACGTTAATAAGGGCCATGTTAAATATCAAAGCTTTTTTGCCAAATAAATGAGCTCACTTTTTCATGAACAAACAAAACCGCTGAAAAATCCTCAATTAATATTTTCATAGTAGTTAGTTACTAACAGGTCGTTCACCGTTTAAATTTCAGGCGGTTTCACAGATTTGCCATGTTGTTTGGTCGTAAACGTAAATTACTTTTTTTTATTTTAATAACCTGTTGTGTTGATCCACCTCTCTGTCTTTAAATCCACAGTGTTCCCTCAGAAATGAGCTGACATTTCCTTATTCGGTTACTAAAAATGTGCAGCTCTTCCTCTCCTCTTTTTGGCAGCTTTGCTTGTGCTGACTTTTCATAATTCAACTCAACATAATTCAATAATTCAAAAGCGCCATCAGTCTGCCCACCAAACGTAATGAAAACATACTGGGTGTACTTGAATATGCCAAAACCATTACATATTTTTGATGATTAGGATATTTTATGTGGTTGATTGGAAGAAAAAGCTAAATTTAAGGAGTAATTTAATGAATCGGGCACTGAGTTGGTATGCAGCATGTTCAGAAGCTTTAGTCTCCAACATTGTCGTCCTGGGTTTGATTCTCCTGGATCATTTGCTGCATGATTGTTCAGTGAAGACCACTGATTGTATATCTCCAATGATTAATATGAGGAAGAACTGTTTATTTTTTTTAAAACTTTATAAGTGACCTGATCGTGAATGTTCTAGAACAGCAGTGATGGTTCCCTTGTGAGAAAACTTTTCCTCGTCCAGTCCGGCCAGAGGGATGGTTTCAGACGAAGATCCTGCGGATTACAAGGACAATCCCTGTTGCTCAAGTTATTGGATTTTATCAATGCAAATAGGGTCCAACGTAACAGCTGGATGGTCACAAACTTCTCAAGCCGAGCCGCACTTCTGAGGAACAAAAGCTGTCAAATTTCCCACCCAAGAAAAACTGTGGGTCCGGTTTTCATTTACGTTAAGGAAAAAAGGAAAGTTTAAAATTTTTCCCTCAAATTACTGAGATTTCAACACCCTGTTGATAATAAATGAGAGAAGCAGCACAGTCCATTTCTGCATGTAGTAGGTAATAATTACAACCTTGATGTCCTTCATTCCTCCAAAAACTAGGTTTTCCTCTCCGCTCTTCTTACCTTCTCACGCTGAAAATACCTGTAAGGAAACTATTTACGCTATGTTTCCTCAACCTCGCACGGTTACTCAACAAAATCTGAAAACAAAGTCAGTGGTGACATAAAGCATTTTATTTTGAGTGATAAATGTCACAGAGGGACTACAGAGGCGACCCACCTACGATGGACCTCATTATCCACTCAGACGTGCAGACACACCTTCCAGACATGCAGGTGGTTGATCTCCAAGGAGAACCCAACACCTCATTTCTTGCTCTATTTCTTTCTCTCTCACACACACAGACTGCAGCTGCAACCTCCTAAGGCCTAAATGTGCTCATAACGTAGGCTCAAGATGTCTCATTCCTCTGATGTGAGGCAATGCTGCAGGTGTCGGGCCCCAGAGAGCCCGGGGATAGTTGGACAACCAGGCCGTTCTGTTCTCAGGCCGGGATCTCCCCCTCGAGTTTTGATCACTACAACAGAGACAGACACACGCTTCATTCAAACGGGTCGTTAGCAGCTCTCCGTTCGGTCTGAACTCTGTCACATTTCTGGCTCGCGTGTGTTCACGTGCAGAAGTCAGAGCTTAAACACATGAGTTCGAATGTAAACTAATGTCTTTGTGCTGAATGATTAAACAAAGATCTGCATGGGAAGCAACCCTAGCGGCAACAAACGACTGACGCTGCTCTGCACGTTGTCAGCTCTCGCCCCCTGACTCCGTCCCTCTGTTGCGGAACAAGAAATGTTTCCGAAACATGACTCACAAGTACCGGTTGCAGTGCGTGAAAGCATCAAGTTTAGGTTTTGCTTGTTACCATGGCAAAAATAAAGAAAAAAAAAAGATCAACTTTCTCACGAAAAAGACACTATTTTTCTGTCTTTATCTCATGTGACCAACTTGACTCCTCTTCACTTCCAGAGTATAATTTTTATTTTTATTTTTTTTTCTATTATCTGATTCATGACGGCCATCCGGGATTTCCAGAACATTCTCAGAACTCTCAGAAAGCTGGCCTTCCTGGCTGCAGACGGGGGATCTAAACACACACTAATAGATATCTAAACATCATCTGCAGATGTTTATTTACCGTCCTTAGAGGATCCAGTTGACTGCCCCGTTTGCCCTCCGAGCAGAACCCTTCTGGCCTGCCTCTAAACCCAATCTCCCTCCGACCAGTCATCCGGGAAAGGGGGAGCAGAGCCCTGTTTTCTTCTCCGAGCATCAAGCATGCGGGACGCGGCTCTTCAGGAAATGAGTCCAGCAAAAATGCGTCCAAGAAAAACAGTTGAGATAGGTCGCAAAGCAGCAGCAGTACTAAGTGGACCAAAGCGTCTGGGTCCAACTGGGGGAGTCAAGGAAGAGGCAGACGTTCAGTGTTTGCGTTCCCCTTCGTGGTGGTCACTTCTTATTGTTCCTTTTCGGTCTTTTTCCTCCACTTTCAACTCAGAGAAAATTGCCACAGTTTTTCAGTGGAGGAAGCAGACATTTCTAAGGATATGATGAGAACATTAAACTTTGTTTGAACTTCCAAAAACTATTTCTGACTTTAGATGTAATGCAAGCGTCAGAGATATAGGCATCAAAAGGCTTCTTTTTTTTTTATTTCGCAAAAAAAAAAGGAAAAGTTGATTTTTGAAAGCATCTGAAAATGGGTTGATTAGGTTTCATAAAGCTGTTGTAGTGTTTAAATCTCACATAGGCTTTATTACATGTTTATCTAACTCTGAGGGCCTTTGTGAAGGGAGATGCTAACTGATGTGCTAGGCTAAAACTACCTCCTGACCTCTCAGTTTTGATAAGACTTGTTGATTTTTAGATGCAGTTCCAATTAATCTTATGAGGAGAGACAAAGTGCTTTTGCTTGTGTTAACTAGCAGTGCTTTACTTTATCCCCACTGTGATGGAGAGTATAAAAGGTGGTGCTGAGATTTAAAGAAATGTGAGACCAAATTAGCAAATTTCCGAATTCAGTGATTTTCCTTTTTTTTTTTTTTTTCCTCTCTCAAATTCCATGATTCCGGTCCTTATTTTCCATGTTATGGACATTTTATTGTGCCTGGATTTCATTGTGCATTCTTTTCGTGGTTGTATCCTTTCATTCTGACTCCCTTCATCTTGATTGATTGTGTTTTAATAAGTCACCCTGCGCTTTTCTAAATAGTTACAACATGTCTTATGCAGTCCACAGCATCTGCAGTCACAGACTCATGAAATAACAGAGCGGGTTTCCGGTCAGTTGTTTATTAATTTATGTTATTCCTCTCGCAGGTCAGAGGTTTGCCCTTTGGGCTTTGAGTTCCCATCCTACTCTTTGTGGACTTTCCCAAACTGGCCACCCCACGGGACAGTCTGGACCTGGGTTAAATTTATGATGTCAAGCAGTGGGAACTTTAAATAGGACGACTACAAAACCCACATGCTCACGATGAGAGCACCCAGATTAGATTTTGTAGTTCATGTTGTACAGAAGGAGGGGATTAGGGATGGGGAATGACAAAAATGAATAAAGGACAATTAATAAATTGTAGCAATTGATCTGGATATTTAATTCTGTTTATGTATTAAAATATAATTATTTCTAAAATCTTTGTCTCTACTGAATCATTGAGTAAAGTTTAATACTTTACATAGAGGAAGAAAATAAACATAAAAAGAGAGTATGAATGACATTTCAGGTGGTTATGGTGGAACCATTCACCTTCAGCATCAGGGATTACTTTATTGGTAATCACACTAATATATCTTAATGATTAAATAATTGAAGAAACAAAAACATAACAAACATGAAATTTGACAAAAAGAGAAATCATAGAAATATTGAATGTCCTTGGATGTGTCAAAGTTTGAAAGAGGGAAAGAAAATGAATAAAAACTTAAAGTGAATTACAGCGGATCCATTGGCTCTGATCACATCCAAAAGAAATTAGACAAAGCTTCACAAGAAACAGCACCATGTGGACCAAATTTACTGTGATATAATCTGACGGGTCACAGATTAAGCTTAACCCAATCTGTCAAAACATATGATGGGCTCCAGCCTACGGTGGAAAATTATTCTCAAGAAGCTTGCTAGGCTCGTTTGAGTGAGATTTGTCTCACAGGAATTCTGCAGAAAAGGTTTAAATTGGTTTGTTTGGGTAAGAAAACTGAGCTGCAACCAGCTCCACTGGTGATATAAGAGAAAACTTAAAGAGGTCACGTATTTACAGCCGACACAAACTACAGCGCGGCTGCAGCAATTGCCTCCAGGGCTTCATCAGCCAAAATTATGACCAGCCTTGAAAGACAGAGGAATTCAGAGCGAACAGGAAAGCCTGTGTTCATTGACCTGTGGGGAATCCAAGATATCTGTTTAACGAGGACCCAGCTCCTCTGAGCTCAGGTTCCCTCGTCAGAACTCTCATATACTAGATTCCTATTAGCGTTGATGCTTTCCTCCCATAGCTTTACTCTGCTAGCCAGTGCTGACGTAGCAAAACTGCCTGGCTAGTTTGAGTTCACTGTTCACCTAGTGGAGGCTTTAGAAACGAAGACAAAAAGATGTGAGAGCCCTTGAGAACTTGGTGAGGAGAGGAGGAAGTGCTTGATGGAAGTGGAGAGCAGGTAACAGCCGGAGAAGCAGCGCTGTGAAGCAGGGAAGAACTGCAGAGGGATTTCTGCTCAGGAACAATGAGTTTTACTGAAACAGATCCCTTCAGGTTTCATCTACCAGTTACGATTAGGAGGATTTAGACA